AGCAATGCACCTTGTTCCTAGTAGCGTCCTTGCTACTCATGTACTTCTTTTGGCAGCTGACCACTTCGCCCCTTCAGGCGACCTGTACAACCTCAGCCAGCCACGTTCTCCCAACGCTTGCGGCTGGCGCGCCACCCTCCACACACTGGAAGGGGTGGGCTGTGGCTCACTGAAGCAGCAAGCTAATGCGGCGGGCCCGCTGGCCTCTCAAACATTCCTTGCTGGCGCACGAACCGGCTGGGACCCCACCAAAGAAAAAAACAACAGCCAAGTATTATATAACTAAGTATACAGTAAGTGCCAAAAAGTCCTTGCAATCTAGGGATGCAGTACGTGTAAAGCACCAAAATCTTCTCTTATATTGTCCTCCCAGAGTCTTCAGGAGACAAACTGACATCTCCCTCAACTCACCAGGCAGCGCCGCTCTCCATCAGACCCCGATGCACCATTGGATCGAGCAATGACCTGCTCCCAAATGCCATCCCAGAAGAGTAGCTCGTAGTCCTGGGTGACTCAGAATTTCTGGCACTTCTCACTTATCAATTGCATGTTTGGCACCAAACATCACGCTGGAAATCCAGCTGGACAGCGGGATATCGACTATACATAACATCCACGACGTGAAGATATCAGCAGTTGGTCTTCAACTGGTTCTTCTTCCAGTCCCCGCCATCCGGACTCCTGTAGAAGCCGCACGGAACGTCTCAACTGGGCATAGCTCACTTCCTCTGCACCCGCTGCGCTAAAGACTTCCTCCTGGCTGCGGTCTGCGGGAGGAGTTTGTCAGACTCTTCTCTGCTCAGGCACAACCATCAGGTTCTTCTGGGGAAGTGGAACGAAGCGAAACCAGCTACCACCACAACGAAGAATAAGTAGTGACTTCTTTCCTAGCATTCAAGTCTCTTGAAAGCCTCTTCAGGATTCCCCCCAGAAAACCCACGTGCCCGTCCTGGAGAGCTGGATCAACCAGGTCCCGGGATCAACACGGGTGATCCCCCCAACCTAGCCCCAACCTCTCCCCGGGTCTCCACCATCTCTCGCAGCTGAGGGATCGGCTCTGCAAAGAAGTCCAGGAAACCCAAGTCCTCCCCGGAGAAAAACGCGGCAGTGCCAAGAAGAAAACGCTCCGTTTGGGAACTGGCTGGCAATTGGGGTTCCAAAGACCTTTTTTGAGAAGTTTCTTGGACTATGTCTGGGAGGGTGTCCAACTATTTTGTGAAGATGTTCTTGTGAGCGTTTGGGATTGTACAATGTGGGCCTCCACAAGCTTCTACATGGTGTGTTCACCGGGGACTTGCAATCACCAAATGGTATGGAAGAAATGGAAAAAGAATGATGGAAGGAAAGAACCCCCCACATAGTTGCAATGTAGAGAGAGAGAGGAAAAAATGAAGAAGAAAGAGAAAGAGAAAGATCCAGAAAAATAAAGAAAGAAAGAGAGAGAAAGAAAGAAAGAAAGGGAGACGGATGGAGAGGGAGAGGGGCAGGGGGCACAAACATGCCTGTGCATGCCTGTGAAGTGATCGGCTGGCAGACTGGCACAAGTCGGACACATCCACGCCCTTCCCTGGGCAGTGGATGCCGCATGAACAGCTGTCCAAGCAAAAGCATCGTGTAGATGAGAAGAATCCAGATTTTACAGGGTGGGTGAGGTCATGGCGTCCACTTTCGTGCCAAAGAAGGGGCAAAGTGCTTCCGTCAAATGAGTCCTCCTTCTGATAGCCATAATGCAGGATCAAGCTGTCCCGCAAAATCCCACACATCTGGCCCCAAGCAGGAAAATTCACGTGAAAGGCAGCAGCAGCCACCAGCGGCGAATGAAGCGTGAGGATGGTGCAGAAGCAGCTGGGATAGGCCTCACGTGCGGGGCTGCTTAGGTTCGGCTCTCCAAGCGCCAATCGCCAACGCACACCAGTCGAGACTGGTGTTCAGTCGAATGGCGATTGGAAGGGCATTCCAAGGAATTATATACGACTATGTTACAACGTGAAGGGAAAAAGGGGATCCATGGTCCATCACAAAGTACACAAAGGAATGGTGGGACATGGTGGGACCTCCCTTCGTTGCAGAAACACCTCCACCTTCTGCAGCCTATGTCACATCTATGTCATGTCTCTCTCGCAGTCAAATTCAATAACACCTGACCCCACAAATCCACAGATCTGAAAAAGATCTGAAGAACGACACCGCCACCTTCTTCCCGGTGGCCAGTGCAGTTCAGCCGTGCGTGTTTGTTTGTTGTTCGTTTCGTCGTTGGGCCTGGCATTTGGGATGTGGAACATGGTCTTCCAGACTTTCGGCACTGAGACCCAGCATGGAACACATCTTCTGGTGCTCACCCAAGGCGAACTCCTCCAGGACGGACAGCAAGACGGGTCCCAGCAACCGCTTGGCGACCGCTTGGGCGACCGCTCGTTGAGTCGAGGGCTAACAACTTCGGTCTGGGTCGGTCGGTTTGCGTCAAATCCAGTGGTGAGGATTGAGTTTGCATGCGAAGTTGGATTCTCTACTCTTTCCCCACTGGCAGCTATTTGAGTCTGTTTCACGCCAAGCAGGCAAACAAGCATCAACGCCGCAGTTTCTGTGTTTTCAAGGTCCTCGTAGACACTGACCGTAATACAGTAAGTGTGAGGCAACTAACCGATGACCAATGATTCATCAATCAAGTGTCTTCCTACCCTACCTACCCTCCACGCTGTGTCTCACACGACCGGTTCGGGCAGGACGCTCGGAAGGGCCCAGGGCCGGGCTGGACCGGTGTCCTCCCGTGCAAGCAAGCTCGCGCGGGCGGTCGGACGTGTCAGGTCCTCGCCAGCTCGGAAGAAGTCCAAGAATTTTCTGTAGCCCTCCACATGCTGGTAGCGCTCACAACTGTGCGTGAGAGTCCTCCAGATGTCAATGTTCAGAACTCTTGGATACGCTTCCTCGATGGTTAATTCAGCTTCTGTGAAGAAGTAGTCAGTAGTTGCAAGCAGGCTTGGATCACCATCCCCGGGGAAAAAAAAGAGTGTTTTGGGCGCTCGTCTGCACCGACGACGAGTCGAGCGATCATGCCAACGTGTGGAGTCGAATGTCTTCAGGATCCCACCCGCAATCTGGAACAGGTCCACTATGGTCATCTATGGCCCACTCCTACAACACCCTAGGCCCCATCCAAAACACAGTGCAGGCCCCACCCCTAAGGGCCCCTAAGTACCAAAGGTCCTGAGATCGCTGTTGCACACAAAGTACTGCCTCAGATGGCGGCGTGCATAGTCTTACAAGCAGGAGGGAGTCTTGTGCCACACATCGAGCATCACAAACCCAAAACATGGCGAGCTTGCGAAGAGGTTTACTACACCTGGCCTATGGGGTGCGCTAGGCCTACGGTGTTCTTTTTTCCGCGATCTGGCCGCCTATTTCTGTGGCCTAAACGGCCAGTCGTGCTGCACAAAAGAATCAAAAAAGAGAAACATCCAGGAGTCACAAGACGGGGTTGTTTTTAGTCCCATCCAGTGAGTGGAGTAGCTGGGCACCCCAAGCCTCCATCGGTCGCACCTCGTCTTGTGACTGCTGGAAGATCAACATTCAGATCCATTCAGATGTGATTTGCTGCGCCGACCCGTCGGCTGCTCCACGTCGATGGCGTTCGCACCAGGCGGCTCATGCAAGAGGGTCTTCAGCAAGAGCTCTGCCGACCTGGTTGGTGGGCTCAAGTCACTTGAAAAATGCAAGTCCATGATCCCAATTAAAAGGTTAAACATTTAAACCTGAAATGCGTATATTTTAATAGGGGGATCCCCCGCCAATTCTTCCAGGGGGTCGAACTGGGAGGTTTCCCTACTCTATCTAGTACACACCCCATCCATCTGGGCTTCAAGCAGCAGCGATTTGCTGGTTTACAGGTCCTGTTACAGGTAAGTGCAGATAGACACAACATATACATACCCGTTATAACCCCTGGTCCTAGCTCACTCTTCCAGTCCCAAGTCCGGTCTGGGATTGGTGACGGTTCTGTTCTGATAGACCCAAGCCATATCCCAAAATCACCAACCAAGCGACTCTTTGGGCAGAACTCCTGCTCTCAGATCGCGCAAAACCTCGTGCTTCATGAGCCGCTCCGCCACTTCCTGTCCCCAGCTGGGTCGGACGCATCCGTGCGGGGACAGGAAGGGCAAAGGGGGTTGTGTGACCCACACCTTCTTGCCATCGATTCGTGGTGCAACCCCTTCCCGCAGACTAACATGGACCCTGAAAGCCTCTTGGTTGCAAAGGACCATACACATTCGGGATGAATGTTGCTTGCTGCAGAATCATTGGAGACCAGAAAGAATCCACACCGCCCTGCCAACAAAAACACCCCGGCCTGGGTGAAGGGTTCCTTCTCCAGAGCTTTCAGAACTCCATCGCAGTCCTCCAATGCCCACGCTTTCCACCAGGGTTGGATCCGGTTTGGGGGGAATCAAGACCTCCGGCTCTCTATTGTCGCAACTGGATGCGCCCACGCCCCCACCCCAACCACCATTTTAAAAAATAACCATTGTCAACAGCCTTCCCGTAGCAGCATGTCGTTGTTTCACAAGCTTCCAAACACCTGGCCAAGTTACACCCGCAAGGCTCATGGCAGTGCAATGGCCAAATCGGTCAGTTGTGTTGGAGGAGTTTGAGCCAGCTTGCGAGAACAAACAACTGTAAACAGAGGCCTCTGCATTGGCTCTATAGGCTTTGCCAAGAAGTTCACAGTATGTCTACATCTTGGGTTGATCTGCCAGAACGGTTTGCGAATTGGACACATCCCCGTTGGCTGCTTGTCATTTCCCTCACTCACATCTGCTACATGGTCTGTCTTGGAATGACTCTGCGGAACTGAAAGCCTTACCTCCCATGGTTTTACCATATTTATCTTATTTCACCTCGACTTGGGAATCTGTACTGATGCCTGATCTCCACCAGGCAGGAGCCCCAAAAGTATGAACCTTTGGAAGGTCCGGCCTGAAATGGGGATCATTTAGGACCAGGCCCTAAACCCTAAACCCGCGACTCTCTTTTGGGACGATGCATCTCAGCAGGCCCGGATTGGACTCGTCCATCTCAACCATCACGAAGGGCACCGCCCGCAGCAAGGACAACACCGCCGTCCGCACCACCGACAGGCCACTGCGGTGTTCGCCGTGGCCAGTGATGATATGCAGGATCCTCAGGCCGCGTGGCACGAACTGGCCCCCAAAAGCTGAAATTCGATAGCTCAGTTCTTGCGACTGGACGCCCGGTAGCACCTGGGACCTCCTGAGGTCAGCGCAGATGGTGAACCCAAAGTGGGTGAACCCCCTGCTTTAGGCTGCTGGCACCGAAAATATCACTCCTTCTCATCCAAAACCCGCAGTTTCCGTGGCACCGACCTTTCCGCAGTAGCTTGCGGCCGGGGGGGGAGACAAGTCCCTCCAACGGCCCCCATTCCATGTGCCAAACAAAGAAAGAGCAAGCAGTTTGAGGAACCCACAGGAGACACATGAAGAAGCACCCAATCATCCCAAAAAGTTCTGGTAAGCTCGTATTCAAACCGCCATCGCCAGTTGGCAATTAGATTCCAACATGCAAGTCCTGTCGTCACATCAGAACTCCCACGCCCATCCATCGTCACCTAGCTTCGTGTCGTCTTCCTCCTGTAGCTGCTCTAGCTCATCTAAAGTCACTTCCACCGCCAGCAGTGCAACCTCCACCGGCAGTTCGTGCAGGTCGATGGTGTACAAGTTTCGCATTTGCGGATCCCTGCAAATAGGAAGAGGCGCATGGAACCGGAGTGCTGAGAAAGGTGAAGAACATCTGGAGGATGAGGAGGAAGGGAGAAGGGCAGGAGTCAGAACAAGGATCTGGCGAAGTGTGACAACATCTGCTGGGACTCCCATGGGCTCCCCGCATGCGATGCTCAGCGGACCCATCACGACCGATACCTTGTGGGAAGCACCGTGTGGTGCAGGGATCTCTTCCTGAAAGGGTCCGCGTGTCTGTGGGGTGTGGGAACCGTCAATCACCTGTACAGGTTACAAGCATCCCCAACCCGCCACGCCTGCGCATGTGCACGCGCACAGGACTTTCCAAGTAGAAGCGCTTCGCTAAAGAGCGGGTTCCAGCACAAAGGGCTAGGAGAGTGGTCATCCAGTCGACCTCACAGGTGGAGAGTAGATGGCACAAACCCCAATCCCCAAAAGGTTGTTTATGCGAACCCCCTACTCTGAAACCCCTGTAAAACGTCCGGGCCATGCAGGTTGCTGCTTTTTTTATTCGTAATGAGGGGACTCTCTGAGTGACTGAGGCGATGAAACAATGCTCATATCATCTTACATATGCTACCCTTGATGTATGATGTGCCATATTTGGTTTGACACGTGGGGCTGATACATGTGGACAGCCTAGTAGATGTGATTCCGTGTGCAAACGGGGGGATGGGTTGGGTATATTATAAACATAATATCCGAATCCCTGTAACCGTGGATGATGGTTAATAGAGGCCTTTCGCTAAATAGGTGACAGTGTTGCTTGTTTACCGACGGTTGCAGGTAAATGGGACACCCCCGATGGGGTGCTTCCTCTATGCCCCGTCGCCCGGTGAGGTCGGCGCCTGGCTCTGTTGGGTCTGTGCAAAGATCCCCAGCGCCGCTTCCCAAAGGGCTACCTCCACACAAATGCGATTTGCCAGTGTCGAGGATCAAGCTATGAGTGGTGAGTATTGTATGGCTCTAGGATACTCTAAGTATCTCTAAGTCAAAGCTTGCCACCAAAACAGCGGGGGTTCCCTACTGCGGTCTGGGCGTTTGAACCCAAGAATCAGTGCTCCTCTGCATCTGCCGGGAGAACAATAATAGAAGGATTTTGCTGGTACCCTGCATGGTTATTCTGGATCTTCCTCAACGAGGGAGAAGCAGGAAATAATATCTGCAGGATTGAACATGGAGGAAGGGAAGGGAGGGAACTATCTTGTACCTCCCTGAGGTTTTGAAGGCTGCAGTTTGCATGTGGTCTTGAGGGAAGGATGTCTTGAGGGAAGGATGTTGAAGGCTTCAGAGCCCACAATGGGACATATCTCTGATAGACTTGGCCCAGGCCAAGAACCCCACCCACTTCCCTGACGTCATCCCCGACATGGCCCCCGACCTTCTGGTAGACGCTGATGAGCGCGTTCGCCACATGCGCTTCTGCGCCAGAGGAGGCGAAGAGCGCCACGGCGTATTGCCAGTGTGGAGCTCCAGCTCCACCTGCAAAGATGGTGGGAAGCTCCAGTTCCCAAGAGACGTGCGCCCAGCCAGGGGGTGATGGCGGCCACGCGTCGAATCATTTGTTGAAGTATATCCCAAACACCCCATGCATAGCTTATGAGTACTGTATGGCATATTCACCTACATGGACCCCAGAAACCACCCCCATGTATGTACATCCATTTCCCTGCAGGGTGTCAGTATGGTTCTTTGGTCCAACCCTGAGACCACTCACGGACCGATGGCGAGTTCGTTCAACGGTTCAACGGGTCCACCCGTGTTCAGTCGGCGGAGCAGCGGGTCGATTCATGGAGGAGGGCTACTTCTGCCACATGCGTGGCGTGGGTTGTGCGTCTTTTCTTGTGTCCTCTAAGGCCCATGTCGCGGTTTCAACGGCTTCCGGTGTGTCATCCTGTTTCTATAGCAGGAGCCAGTCATTTCGGAGCAGTACTGATGGGGGGTCTTGCACATGATACTGCGCTGCTGATGGCTTTGGGGTAGGAATCTTCACATCCCCACCTCTGAACGCTATGGCGTCCTTACACACACTGATTGCAGCACTGATCCGGTAGGACTCGGGGATCTGGCTGGCACCGGGTGAATGGAACAAGAGGTCCAAGGCTTGTTGCCATTCGCTCTGGAGGCCACCAGATTCCGCCACGGTGACATAGTGATGCCAAGAAGTGTCCTGGAACGCATCGTTCTGACAGCTTTGGAGCAATAATTTCTTCGACCAAGCGACCGAGGTCTGACTCCCTTGGCCGGTATACTGCTGGGTTTACAAAAGATAGCGATCATTGATTGACCGACTAAGTTACTGGTCATGGGACAAACTGATGAACAAACTTCTGCACCACTGCAACCCTTAAGAAAACTTCTTTTGACGACTTGGGAACTCACCAATTCTCGCGCTCCAACCGTGTCTTTCGGATGCCTTTCTTTTTTTGCATCGTCCGTGCTTCGCATGTGTATGCCAAGCATCAAGCTTGAAGGCTGTTGGTACTTCAAAGAGGCACCAAAATGCCTCTTGCCAGTGAGAAGCCTTGTTGAAGGCTTTCAGGATGTTGGCCATACTGGCTGCATCGGCTATTCCAGATGACAACATCTCCTCAAAGCCAGGAAGTGGTGGGGTCACCCCACTGCTAAATCATAGATCCACTCATATCCCGATCACGTTCTGTAAACCAAACCTAAAATCAATCTGGCCAAAGCTCTGCAAAAATGCTCAACCCCTGCTTCCACGCGCTCCCCGCCGCACATGCGCCCAGCGCGGCATTCCAGTGTACTGCCGCCAGGAACGGCTGAGGCTTAGCTGCGCGGAGCCCCGCGCTGCCACTGAGGGCTGCCAAGGCTTCGGCCCAGCGATGCGTGCGCTCACAAGCGCTCAAGATGGAGGTCAAGGTCACCTCATTGGGCTCCACCTTTTGCGCCTCCATGGCACCTGCACTGAAAAAGGCACATCTGTGGGCAATTTTGCTTCACCCCCCCCTTAAAAAAAGAGGTGGGCGTGGTTTTCGATGTGTTTGAGGGCCGAAGAGGGGTGGATCAGTTGGTTGGGTGACTTTGGGATTGCCGGATCCAAGTCTCAACCATCTCCAGCTACATGGGTGGCTGGGTTATAGATATGTGGAGACATGGAGTAAAGAAGGGCATGGCAAGCGCATGCGCCGCGTTCCCGGGGGCTGCAACAACATTGATCACTTGGCGGCCATCTTCAACCAAGTCTATTCTTCACACCACCCATGAATGGAAACAATATGAAACAATTGGGATAACCATGGATAAACTGCTTGAACTAAAAACATTTGCTGATCACCAAGTTCAGTATCGAACCTAAAATTGTGTAAGCCCCCAAGCAGGTTGATGGCTAGAGGAGTGGTCACATACCAAAAAAGGGAGGAAGTCACATACAAGTGGGCGCCTCAGGGCATCCCAAGATGCGCCTCAGGGCATCTCTTGATGCGCCTCAGGGCATCCCAAGTCTGATTATATACCTTTCCTTGTAAGCAGGGCTAGGGAAGGATGAGAAGGAAAAAGAGAAAGGGTGGAAAGGAGGGAGCACAGGCAAGGAGACGAAGTTCCGCAAGCTGCCAAGTCGCTCAGCAAGGGCCTCAAGCTGTACCCCTCATGTCCAGCGCTTTGGCCACGATCCGCGACCTACGTTGGTGCTCCGCCCCGTGAGGCCAGCAGTTGAACACTTACGGGGTGGCCGCACCCACTACCAAATATTACTGAGTGGCCTGCTCTTTTCTCCTTCTGTCTCTTTCTTTCTTCCATTTCCCACCGCCTTCGAATCGAGTCCTCTCAACTCAACCCGCCCATCTCGAGGTCTCTCTGCACCACCGGACGGGTCTTCTACCTGCATGGCGATGCTGAAGCTGTAGACGTCCCACTGTAAACCACGCTGGTGCAAGCTCCTGCAGTTGGGTGTGGCCGGTGTGGTGGTGGTACCAGATGTTGGGGAAGTGGGGAGCCAAACGCCCTAGACACCCCAAGAGGGTGAAGATGGAGTGGCAAAGAGTGTGTAGTAGAGTGTGTCTTGTGGGAAAGGGGTCTTACAAGGAACCCTACCATCCACTTCCATGTTTGCTGGATTGAGTGTAGACATAATAAAGGGCCAGGGCGGCCAGGCGGCCTGCATGTCTCTGTGACCCTAGTTCCATGTCTTCATCATACGTGCGTCTTGATCCACACCCTGAATGCACAAGGAGGAGTCAACGCGCACCAGGTGTCTACGGAGGAGCTTCGTGGGGGAGGCATTCGCTCAGGTGGAACGTCAAACTAGCGCCTCAGGCGCTTCAGTGGCCAAATGCATCAGCCCCCCAACATGCTCCAAATCAATGCATGGCTGATGCATCCCAAGTCTGATCCTAGGACTTGAGATGTTCAGATACTTCCCGTTAAATCCTATGTCCTACTTAGCAGCCACATCTCTACTAAGCCACCCAGCTCCACACCTATTTCCAGGTCCGTCCTCAACACCTCGGCGGCTTTGGCCCAAGCGTGGTTTCGGGCACACGCGCCCGCCAAGTTGTGAAAGGTCCAGCTGATGGGCCTCCACCCCGCGCCGCGGATCGTGTGGGGCACTGGCCCTCCACCTCCGGGTTCATCCGACGGGACAAGGGGTTGAGGCTCTCATTTGTAGGACCATTCGGTTTGCTCATGGGTGGGGTTCAGGCCTCCGGAATGTGGGTCCCATTCTGTAGTGGAGGGGAGAAGGATGCAGTTCCGAGAAAGCACCGGCCAGTTGCAGACATGTTCGAGAAGCTCAGTGAGAAAGCATCAGGGCGCCCAATGAGCCCTGTGAGCACATGTCATTTTGATTCGACTAACTAGGGTCAACAAAAATTGTGCAAATTTACGTTCATCCATAATCCATTCATCCAGGTGGTGCTTGGCTATGCCTGCAGCACCCTCAGGCAACTCTCAGGAAAAAAGTTAACTTGACCTACACCGAGACTTGTTGGTTTGTTTCCCCTTTCACCGCCCACAAGACCCCTATGAGGCCTCAAACGTCGCAGCTGCAGCTCCTAAGATCTGGTGAGCACCGAAGATTGCTGAAGATAAACGATAGGATTGACGGGAATTGTTTTTCCCCCCACCCACGGCACAAAGGCTTTGAGATCCTTCATGATCCTTCATGTCTTATTTAATCTTATTATTTCTATGTCTGAAAAAGATCTTTGGCACAAATCCGTGCACCCAGACCAGACTGGCCATCTTCGTTCACCCAGACCGGCCGCCCGTCCTCGAGTAGTGCTACGGCTCGAGGCCAGCCGGGCTCCACGTCCTCGAGCCGTTCCGAACTCCTCGACAGAGCAACGACGCGGACGGCCGACCCGGCGAGGATGAGTGCACCCGTTGGGATGCTTTGGAAGATGGAGGATTTTTGAGATGAACCAATCCCACCAGCGAAAAAGATCGAAAAACCGGTGAGTTTCCGGTGGCTTTTCGTGAGGGGGTTAGGGCAGGGGGCCCTGACGTTTGTATATTTGTTGCTCTCCGTGAGGCAAGCCAGGAATGACCAAATCACTCAACCCAAGACGGTAAACTTCTGGGGAGCCAATGGCTTGAACCTGCAAGTGATCTAGAGAATGCGCAAAATGAACCCGGAATGGTGAGGCTTCCCCACCCACTGGCCGCACACGTTCACTCTGAACATGTTCACCCCTGAGCTGCACAGCTGGGCAACGCAACAATATCGGAGAGCGAAATCTCCTTGCAAGCGAAGACGTGGGAAACTCCTTACTGTATGTCAACCACCTCTCAAACTCCCGTGCAGCTCAACTGGAGCTGCGAGGCGAGGCTTGTCAGAGAACGACTGAGGCAGCGAAGCTGCGAGAAGTATATAGAGACTTTCTTCACTGTGACGCCAATTTGCAGTGTCCCTTCCCAAGACATCCTTTGCGAGTCCTCCTTTGCGATCCCTTCTTTGGAAGTCCTCCTTTCCGACACCTCCTTTGCGAACCCCCCCCTTGGCTAGTCAGCCCCTTTGCGAGTCCTCTTTTACGCGCCCGATTGACCCATGCTGGATGGCTGGATTGTTTTTGACAGGTGGATCAGCACGTGGAGCAGAGGTGGTTGAGGGCTCGGGGCTGATACATTCGATCCGCCTTGGTGTAAGGTCTTTCTGCGGGACGCCGCTTCACAAGAGACCCTTCGCAAGCGATCGCACGCGTGGACTTTCTCATTTGCGAGGCTTCCCTCAGCACCAACACTTCCACACGCCGCCCCTTTGCAAGTCATCATCCCTTTAACGCGAGCCCTGGGTGGGCCTTCCCCCTTTTCACAATCAGAACTAACTCCTTCGCAACACCTTGCTGCGAGACCCCCTTGCCTTTGCGGGTCACCCTTTGGAAGCACCGAAAGGGACTCCCATGACTCCCCCCCCCTTGGCGAGACCTCCTTCGACGTCGCGGCTGAAAGCTTTCCGGCTGCGCGGACTCGGGCCACTTCGATAGGACAGTACTGGCAGGTGCTGCGGGGATGTTCGAAAAAGAGCACCGGTGGCTGGATGTGGCTGAGCTCCCATACGTGCTCCAGGGCTCAATGCTCCAGCTACCAGAGCCGCGACAGCTCAAAGAAGGAAGGCTAGGAAAGAGTGTAGACTTGCAAATGACTGTCTTCCAGGACCATCTGGGTGTATCTGGGTGTCTTGGTGGGGCGTCCAGCCCCGCTGCGCTGCGCCAGGGACTCCAGCCAGGGACTGACTTGATCAACCCCAAATCCTTCCCCTCAAAGTCCAAGACGATGTCCAAAATGCTCCTCAATGAACCTGAACAGGAATGCCTTGACTTCGTTGTCAAATACACTCCAACTGCACTCAGAACGGGACTTGCAGGGCTTCACCAACCTAAAGTTCGATCCCTTTCGCTGGTGGGATTGGTTCCATTCCCTCGATTCACTCCCCCTCACCATCAGGAGCTTCTGAACTACCCCCCCATCCGGGAACTACCACGGGAGAACACGACATCCGAACTCCTGGCGGAGTCAAGGCCGATCGCGCGCAGCGCGAGGTGATAGCTCTTGAGGTCGGGCGTGGGTAGCTGTGGCGACCTGAGGCAGCGTCCGGGAGGATGCGAGGAGACTCCGTGGAGTTCCTTTTCTTGGGTGGGTTGGGTTAGGGGAATCTGGAATCTGAGGGCTGGGGAGATGGTGTTCTTGGGTCCAACGAGAAGGCAAAGAACATGTTTGAAGTGCTAAATTGTGTGTACTAGTATTGATATGTATTGAAATATTGTTTAATGATGCTCACTTTCCTTCATCCAAAGTTGTGAAGAGCCAAGTTGTTCATAGTTGTTCCAATAGCTATGCATGGAGCTGGATACCAAAGTTGCCCAGACCAGCACTCGGAGTGTGTTGACCATCGGTACCCATGACTCAAGTCGGTCAAACCCTCCAATATACAGCTCATAAACCTAAACTATCACATTTCAGATCTCCACCCTCAATGCAATGCATCAGCGCACGGAGGAAAAAAACTGCATCTATCTGTCATCATCGATCAATCCCTGAACAGTCCCATCAAAAGCTCTCTGAGCTGAGTTCACCACATTTACCACTGTCCTACACCTGTCCTACCACATCCGCCCCCATCTCCTCCTCCTCCCAAGCGGTGCCTGGAGTGGAGAAGTTCGACGGCCTGCTGGGCCAGGTGGCCCCTCTCGCAGGCGTGCAGGCCGAAGTTCAGCAACTCCGTGGTCACCTGCGGCGCCCCGGCGCGCTCCATCTGGAGAGACCGGTCTGCGAAGGCGGCGCCACTCCGCGCGGAGTAGAAGGACGGCCCAAGATGGTTTGAAAAGACCAATTGGAAAATCGGAGAGGGTCCCGGCCAGTGGAATTTGTGACTTCTGGCTTTCCTTCCGGAAGAAGTGAGAGTGGGAAGTCAGGTAGAAACTGGGTGACAATGCTGGGTTGGGTGGTTGTTTGGACCAAACAGCTGAACAATCTGTTGGTCTGTTTCTGTCAATGGATGTCAATGGGATTCTTGTGTCAATGATGTATGTGAGACCAAACGGTACCGGATGAGACCAGCTGCACCAAACAGTCATGCCATAAATTGCAGTGAACCCCCCGACCAAAACCGGTGAAACCTCTCATTCCCACACCTCCAAGTACCTCCAACCACCGGTGAAACCATGCCCTAGGGCAAGTACCTTCTCAGGTACGGTGATGTGTTCGACACTGTGATGTAGGTGCCATGTACGAAAACGGATCCCTAGGACATATGAAAGCCCAAAGGGTCGGATAGCTGTTGAACCCCCAAGGGGTCACCCTGAGTTGAATGGTTCTGTACCTCCGCAGTGAGTGAGTGGATGTTCGGGGCACCCCGACGGTCCTCCCAGTTCGGCACAGCAAGGTGAGTCCTGGATCAAGGAACTGCTCAAAACGCCGATCCAGCAGCAGCAGCAGCAGCAGCAGCAGCAGGAGCACGCGCACCAGCACACCCCCAAAAAATGCCGATCCAGCACCAGCACCATCATGTGCAAAACGAAACACTGATCCAGAGCCACACCATTGAGAAACGATTAAGAACCCCCATAGCTTGCAGCTATCCAGGGAAGAAAAGCCCCCAAACGTAGGGTTTTGCATGTCTTCGAGCACATGAGCTTCCGGGATGCCAAAGCCAAAAGGTTGGGCCACCCATCTGTATCCCAAAACATGTTGCAAAGCCTTGGGAAACTCTGGATGGAGGATGTCCTGCACCATCATGCACCATCTGTACTGCAACTTGCAACTTGAGAAGCACTTCGAGTTTCTGGACCCTGAAGCTTCTTCTAGGTCCCCCACCCGATGCGCGCGCCCTGCGCCTCCACGTCGGAGTAGCTGGCCAGGCTCCAGAAAACATTCCTAGAGCAAGGCACTCATTTGTGACGGCGCTGCGGCACACCACCCCAATGACCCCCAGATTTGGTATCAAATGGGATGAGGCCCAAATTCCTGGATCTCAACTGCAAGCATCTGTGAGTGCTCAGTAGTTCTAGCACGCTAAACACTGGACCTGCGCTGCTCTATTGGCTTCAAACCGGGTTCAGCCCGGGAAGCAGCCTCCAACTCATGCAGGGCCTTCGGCCAAAATGAGAAAAACATGGGGAAGAAGAACCTTGAAAAAACATGATAAAACCATTTACAAAAAAACACTCACCTGGCCTTCGTTTGCCCTTGGCTTTGCCCTTCGTTTCAGGCTCCTTCGTTGGCTTCGTCTCTGCTGGGAGATACCACACACTCCGCCGCAGAGCGGCGTGGTCTGGTCGTCTTGCAAAGCCAGGAGTCAAGGCATGAGACCAACAGGAGCGAGCCGCCAATTGGGCCACGCAAGTGATGCCTAGGCCACGAGGAGGGTTTCGGCGAGAGCTGGGACCGGAGCTGAGGAGAACCGGTCAGACCTCACTCCCAAGAACTGGGCGACCACCAGTGAAACGTACGGCTTCGGGAAGATTCATGTGCTTTCTTCGTCGTTCTTCCTTTCGACTTGCCGAGCTCCAAGTCGAATCAAAAACTGTCCAACTGACATTCGGACGTCCGACATCTGACTCGACCAGCGATCCCTCCAAAGCATCTTGCTTCGTCATAAATACGAAGTGATACCGAGGCATAGCCTCAAACGCCCTCAAAGAGTTCAAGGGGGGCGGTTCCTTTGAGCGCGTTCCAGCCCAGTCTGAGTGTTCCGGAGCGGCTTCGAGGTTTTTGAGCGTGCAAGCACGGCAGCGCATCTCAACAAGGCATCCCTTCAAGGCTTGGTACAGTAGGCACCCCCCACGAGCTAGGAGCGGTCGGACGCTACGAACGTAGCTCCTGGCCTTACGAACGTAACAAGAAGCTACAAACGTAGCAAAGGGCGTCGCTACTAGGAGCTTTGCGCCTTTGTCGGCCTCCAGAATCACCACCCCAGCGATTCCGAGTCCAAGCCACCCCGGCGGCAAGTGCCAGCCCTCCTAAAAACACAAGTCTATCCTGAAGCGAGCTGCCATATGACGGTGGCAACACCTTGGTGGTAAGCCTCTCACGCTTGTGTTGGGAGATTTGCCTCAGCGAACCGGCCATTGCCTGCCCGTTTGCCCCTGAAGAGTGTGAAGAGAACAACATGCAAATATATGCGTTCAACCAATGAAACACGGACCCCGACACGTCACACCAACCCAACTATGTTGTTGCTCCGAACTCGGAGAGAAAATGTGCTCAGTTTCCAAGTGCTCAGTCCACCATTTTGAACGGTGTCCTCTTAATAAACACCTCTTAACGCCTCATCCCACATCCTGCTTCCTAAGGATCCACCGTACGAGCGCCAGCGACTCACGCAGGCTGCGTTCGGACCAGTGCTGCGCCACCTGCCTGGCCACCTTGGGCTGCCGCGCGCGGGCGCAGGAGCTCAAGCAGGCGGAGAGGCAAAGGAGGTCGGGCGTCAGCGACTGCATGGGGATCTGCCAAAGGAGCTGCAGAGTGGCTTCCCACTGCCTAGGAGTGAGAAGACAACAGCACACCAAGGTCTACTGCACGGACCATTGGTGATCGTATGTTGGAAAGTAAGTGATTTTAGGCATGAGGCATTCTTGGAAAGCTTCAAGTTGGGAATTTCTGGGCCACTTCGACCTCTTCAACACCCGTCGAAGTGTTTACCTCCCAACAATGAATGCTAAGGCACGTGGCCTCTGCACAGGCTCCCATTGCAGCGCTGTAGGGGAATACAGTGGGATTAGGTCGCATTGGTTCCTCGGAATAGCTTTCCGGTGGCAAAAGCGTGCTTTCATCCTGGAAAGGAAAAAGGGCAATCCCCAAACTAAAGCTGTGTCAAATAGGACGATGAGATTGTTGGACTGGAAACCGTGTCAGGTTAAACACGGCGCAAAAATCAAGAAACACCCATCACTGGACACTGCCGCTTCATCTCCAGTTGGCAGTTACTCAGTGACTCGTGAGCTGGCAGGTCCTGCGGACGAGGTTCCAATGCCCTCTCCAACTTCATCTCAGCCAAGATCTCCAAGGCTTTCTGCCACAGGCCCAGCCGATAACATTCCTCCAAAGCCGCCCTCGCCGCAGCGCGGGGAGGCGACGTGCCACGGGCCTCAGCCGAGCTCAAGGTCCCCAAGGCATTGACTCACCTAGAATGTTGCGACCAGGGGCAAGCACCCCAAATTCCCAACTACTTGCTTGAGACAGGTTCCTCAGGTCCATTCAGGTCCTCAGATTCACAACATGAAGCAGGCCCTACATATTAGAGGCCTGCTGTTCTCATCTCTCCCAACGAGTCGCCCCAAATCCAATGCGTCACGTATCTTATAACCCGGGTCTCCTTTGGAGGGTTGTTAGGCCCTAATCTCTCCGCTGATGAGTCGCGGAGAGTTGACCTTGCTCCACCTGCCTCCACACCTGCCTGTGGAAACCCCTAAACCGCACCACTCACCCTTTGGTAGAGAGAAAACCATAGAGAACTCTCCTCCCCCAATGGCGACCCGAAACTCTCCTCCCCCACCGTCCTCCACACACACGTGCCTGCACACCGCTGGCGGCCCGTGAACGGAGCCGGGATCTCCCAGCCCCTGAAAGGCGCAGGGAGCGCTGCAACAGCTGCGCCATGGCGCTGGTCGCGCGAGAAAACCCATCATTCACATCCAATGATTGGTACAGGTTTTGCTCAATTGCCCCCCCCCCCAGATTGGGACCTGCTAAGATTGGCTGGCCATTCTTGGATGATTTGCTGGCCCCTCGAAGTCGACTCAGGGATTAGGACCTGTATCGGCCCAGGTCCGCTTTAGCCACTTTGACTGGCTCAGTTGGGAAGACCCGCTGCAAATGTTCAGGATCTCTTCCAGCAAGTGGCACATGTTCGATTTTCTCTGAGCGGGTTGGAGTGTGACGCTTTTAGCGGACCAATGCGGACAATGGTCAGCGGGTCAGCATGCTCTATGCCGTGTCTTCAGAGATTGGGAAGGGGGCCACCGGCTACCTGTACAGTCATCAGGCCTGGTGCAGAATCATTACCCGCTGGTTCTCCTTCAAGGTTGAACCGAACCGCCGGGAGTTCTGTGGAAGCGAACTCCTTTTTGGGGACACTCCATTTGGATGGATTCCACCTCTCTCTCGCTCTCCCTCTCAGGTGGATCAATGGATACAGATCCTCACCATGTAAAGACCATTCAAAACTGCTTTCTGAACCCAGTCTGTCTAGTCACCCTCCGACCCCAAAGGGGCCCCAAAGGCCTCTCAGCTCCTGCGATGAACCCAGTCGCCACGGAGCACCGGTGCGATGAGGAACCCTCCGATCCGCCGGACGAACATCTCCGATCCGGGAGACCTCTCAAGCATCCTCTCAGGCGCCTGGCCTTCGGATGCCTTCGGAAACAACAGCCCATATGGGGGCCAGGGGGGCCTTTGTTTTTACAAAAAGACACACCCATATGACACCCATATACATGTGATTCATATGATCCTGACTGAAGGAAAACGAAAAACAACAAAAGAACAGTGGGAATCACTCCGGTGGGTCCCGAACAGTCCTCATCCTCCCGGCCCCGCTTTCCATCTTCCAAGGGCTGAATACACGATCCCATGGGGACCAACGCAAAAACCGCTGGGTGTTGGGATCCAGGAAAAGCTCCGCCCCTCCAGGGTCTCCCAAGAACCTCCAGGGGGGTGCTGAAGCGACCGGGGCCGAACCGACCACGTCTGTTCTCCGTGCTTCTCAGGATCGGAGCGCTTCGGGTCCCGAGGGCCCGAGGTGAGACGGGTCGGGGCGAACGGCCACCCAACGGCCGTGGTTTCCACGGCCGAGTGCAGCCGAGTCCTGCGTGGCGGACGAGGAGTGTGGGAGGATGGAGATGGAGATGACCAGACGTGAGGCATAGTGGGTTTGGGGAGGCATTCTTCTCACAAGCGCAGGCTTGGGGCACACGGTTTGAATGACCACAATGGATCCCATCAGTCACATCTGGCCGCACTTGAAAACGGCAGGGCCCCCGGTTCCATCTCAACTGAATCCTTCTATCTTCCCAGGGAGGGTGCCCAAGCCAAAAATAGTGCCACCAACACCCAGCTTGCCACCCTGGATTCAGTTTCCCCAGAAACCCACCCATGACACCTCTTTCAAAGCACCACCATGCACCACCGTCAAGAATCCTCCAGATGATTCTCTTGAAACACCCCTCAAATTCCCAAAGCCGCACTCACCACCCTTGCCCACCTCAGCTGCCTTAGGAAAAGCCAAGGCCAAGGGGGTCCGGTGGAAGAGGATTTGGCTCCACCTGGTCAAACAACCACATCCATGGTGGTCTGTCGGTCTTCCAGATGCATTTCCGTTTTCTTCTGGAGTCTCCAGCTCACTGATGGCGTTGAATTGCCCCAACATGATTGCAAACGACCCGCACCATGTCAGTGGGAAAATCCCACCGCTTCAGTCGTCATTCAGTCTAGACCTCGCCATGTTCCAGGCTGTACCAGTGGGCTGTACTCAGTCGTTGGGGAATTCCACGCCAATCTCCACAGCGCAGCGGTGCCCCTGACGGAAGTCTGCCTCCCCCCGACGGAAGCGGTTCACGCCCTTTCTGTAGAACCTCAGGATGCGGGATGGAGCCACCCACGAAACAAGTGATATAGAGAGAGAGAGAGAGCAGAGAGATCTATATAATTTATAAATTACATGACTTGTTTTTACAACCCATGGCCACCCCTTCTGTTTTACAAATTGTAGCATGTTGCAACATGTACATATACACACTATTGCAATATACGTTGAGAATCGTTGAGAAGCGTCTGCTCTTGATGCCTTGATGCCATGTCCTTTGTAGTTTGTCGACCTCCTCTCTTTCTTCCAGGTGCAAAGTTGAGAAGTCCTTTCTCTATCGCACTGCGGCCCGACGCCGCAAATACATGCAAATACCGACGCATCAAACAAACACCAAAGTGACGTCAAGACACCCTGACAAAGGGGAAAAACCATAGAAACCGCCCGTATGAGGCATGAAGGTCTCCCATGATCTTGAAGGTTGTCTCGTCGGTGATCCCGCCCTATACCCTGCAAAACTGCCCGACTGGCAGCCCGTTGCACGCCAGAATCCGGAAACCCTGGCACTCCCCTCCGAACGGAATCGCATGGATGTGGAGTTCACCTGCTGGTGAAGGAAAATGGTCTCCTTTTCAGGCCCCCACCATCCACCTGCACAACTTCACCATGGATTGGTGGGCTTCCATACCACCAGGAGCGGACAATGAAACACAAAGAAGGAGCCCCTCGAACACCATTCCCAACTGAAAACACCTACCTGAGCACCACATAGCTCCGAGAACTGGCATCCCAACCAGCCACCCCTCTCCTTTTGGCAGAGGGACTCGTGGCTGGTGCGGAAGATGAAGTCCTTTCTCTTCTTTCGAAACCTGGCCCAGGTGAGTTCGGACCCGCAAGTCGGGATGCTCAGATGGGCATCACCTTCGCCCGATACATGTCACATTCGCCCCGGTCTCAGACGCGGTGAACCAAAGAATCCCACATTGTGAGGTGTGCGCCATCGGTGAAAATCGTCCAGCAACCATCCCGTCCAAACTGATGGAAATGGCTTGGACTCAACACTTCTGCGCCGAAGCACGGAGACGCTGCACTGTCTGAGTCATAGAAACTTCAAGATGTCTTCCAAGAGTCACAAAGGGGTGCTTATTGGAGGATAGGGGTCCCATTATCCACCGGGACTAGAAACCACACCTTTGTGACTCCTGGTTTGCTTCTTTTGACGGCACACCTTGAGACGTCAGACGTCAAAGCAGGTCTTGGGTCACAGGCTTCTCGTGGACTCCCTCCACGAATATGCTGAAGAAAGTTCTGCATATGAACTTCCTAGCCCTCTTTATCTCCGCCACTTCCCCAGAAAAGGAGACTGCCGCTGTTTCGTCCTACACGGAGTGGTCTTTCATGTGACGCCTCCCCCCAAACCCTGCCAGGCTGACACCCGGCTGTGGTCCGAGCGCATAGTCTGAACCTCGGGGCTGCGAAGGGTCCGGGCAGGCGAGGGCGAGGGCGCTCCAGATCTGCAGACCGCAGGTGGAGGTGTTTTTTTCCAATGGCACCTGTCCCCCAGCATCCTCCCGACAGAGCGAAACCTCCAAGCATCGCCATAGCGGTCCTTTTTCCACGTGCGTGCGTCTGCGGTCCAGCCAACCTGAGAAGTCGGAGCAGTGTGGGGGGATCTGTTTAAAGGTGTGAATGATAGGCCAGGTCTATAGATGAAATCGCTTTGGCTTGCCCCAAGCGTGGTGGGGAAAAAAAAACACCCACACGCACACACTTCGACACTTGTATTCAGTTAACTCAATTCCCCGAGGAAAGGAATGGCTCAACGGCAAGGTGAGGAGTCCGATCAATTGAAGGTGTTTCAACAAATAGTTTGTGCGCATCTGCAGACTCGCGACAGCAGCGGACGAGCGGCGGACGGCAGCTGAAACCGATGGAAAAGGGTTTAGGGGAAGTAGCATGAACCACCATGGAAACAAACAAAGAAAGAGTGGAGTGACAGCTTGTACAACAGTTCGGCAGGTACGTTTGCCGCCCCCCGCAGTGGCCTCTTCGTTGGCCATCCGCCACTGGGGAGGGGGATGGCCCCCTGCTGTGAAAAAGGTAGAAGTTGGCAGTGAACCCTTTGGCACAGGGGTTGACACACACAGGTCGCCGTAATCGGCGCTTTTTCTTTTCAAAAACCGGCTGCAAGCAGCTGGGTGGTGTCCTTTTGAGACGTAGAGCTGCACTAGCTCAGTGGCAGCAGCGTCAGCGCTTGAAGGTGGAAAGGTGTATGTGCTGGTGCTTGTCGACGTCCTTGAGGATGTGCTGGTGCTTGTTGACGTGCTTGAGGATGTGCTGGTGCTTGTTGACGTGCTGGAAGATGTGCTGGACTTTGTGCTTGTGCTTGTTCTGCTTGTGCTTGATGTTATCGAGAAACTGGAGGAGGTGGATGTGATGGTTGTTGTTGCGGATGTGCTCGTGCTTGTTGCCGTGCTGGAGGATGTGATGGACGTTGTGCTTGTGCTTGTTCTGCTTGTGCTTGATGTTGTGGAGAAACTGGAGGTTGTGCTTGTTCTGATTGTGCATGTTCTGCTTGTGCTTGATGTTATCGAGAAACTGGAGGAGGTGGATGTGATGGTTGCTGTTGCGGATGTGCTCGTGCTTGTTGCCGTGCTGGAGGATGTGATGGACGTTGTGCTTGCGCTTGTTCTGCTTGTGCTTGGTGTTGTGGAGAAACTGGAGGTTGTGCTTGTTCTGCTTGTGCATGATGTTATCGAGAAACTGGAGGAGGTGGATGTGATGGTTGCTGTTGCGGATGTGCTCGTGCTTGTTGCCGTGCTGGAGGATGTGATGGAC